ATCAGAGAGCTCAGGGGAAAATGTAGTGGAGAGCTGCAAGAACATTTTAGTGAGGGTAAGTGGAAAAGAAACTATGGATCCCATTGGACTAGAGACTACAAAAGGCCAGATACCCCTCTAGCCTACAATAAAGACAAATAACTTGGAAAAAAAGAGTTAAAAATATTAAGAAGAAAGAAATGCTTTCAGCCCTGTCACAGAAGAAAACAATTCTCAAATAGTTACATGGTACTACACAGCTTAGGTGTCACCAATGATTGTTGACGATCAATATATTCCTCTATTCGACACAGGTAAATACAGTTCATATCCTGGCATCACAGTCCACCACTGGCCTGGAGCTCCAAGTCTGCTTCTCCATAGGAAGAATAAGGTTTCTCCATGGGAAGAATAAGGACACTTATCCATATCAAGACCACACAGGACCAAAGTTTACTCAGTTCTGTGATCTGGTTTCCTCTCAATAATTGATAATACTTCCACACAGTAGAGCTCAAGGCCAGACCTTTTGCTGGTCTCTCATTCCTGTTTCCCCAAAGCCCCTCCTTTGGGAAACACTGCTTTCTGGAATTCAGCAGGTAGACATCCCATCGCTCGTAGCCATGGTCCATCAGGTTGTATTAATACTGTCCCAACAGGATCAAGGCTTTCTCATTATCTCATCTGCAGTGCAATAACACCACAATATTGAATAGCCTATAGGTTTTTCCTTTTCATTTCCATTTCTGTGATTTTTTTTTTTTTTTGTATAGGGAAACAGGTGAGACAGCTGTAGATGACTTTACTGATTGTCTACATAAGACATTGTTTACTGAAGTCTCACAACTCACTTTCACTACAGCAGACTGTGGTTGCAATTCCTCCAGCGAGGAAGGGGAAAGGCAAACCTGCCTGATTTTGGACAGCAAACCAGGAACAGAACAAGAGCCCTTATGGACTGGTCCCCAAGGTCATCCCAAGCCACTGCATTAAGAGCAATCAAACTTCCCAGCCTCATACACAACATGCCCATTTCTTGATATAGCTGAGAGCCATAAGACAAAAACGCACGAGAGCGCCCCCAGATGGGGCTCAAAGGGTGCAAGACAGCAACAGCTCCTTAGTAGCCCAATTCCTCCACCGGAGGAGAGGACTCAGGTATATGTGCAACCGGTTCTAGGCAAGTCTGCAGCATTATTTGCTTAGGGACATGGTTTACTGGTGGGATGGCAGTGTTAGATTAACAGTCGGACTTGGATGATCTTGGAGGTCTTTTCCAACCTAAACAATTCTATGACTAGCCTCACAGTCCCAACTGGATGGCTGCCTCCTCCTGGCATGGACGCAGGTTACCCAGATCATAACGTAACCCCAGCGTGGAAGTTACAGCTGAGCCCTTCAGAATCCTCATGGTGTCCTTTAAGTTTTAATTCAAAGTATTCTTCTAGAACTGCCTACAAGGAGCTTTAAAAAAAAAAAAAAACAAACCACAACAAACTGCCAGACCTACAGCCAAGCACATGATGAGATCCTCTAGACATCTCAAGAAGCCTGACACCAAGTAGGATTTGTGCAACTGATGGGCCTTTGCAAATCCCTGTGGGGAAGCTACTAGATAAAAGCATCCCCGTAAATCTTTCCTTCATCTTCGGTATTTGATCTGAACTTTTACAAAAAATTAAAAAAGGCCATTACCTGCCTGTCAAAATTTTAAGAGACCAATGCTACCTCCCCAAATTACAAACATCTTGCACCCTGCAGAGCAATAGCTAAAAACATGGTGAGACTCGATGCAAAATTACATGGTTTTGGGGCTGATCTTTAGAAGCAGAGTGGGAAGTACTGGGTGTCCTGTAGAACCTAAGAAGTTTCTTCCAGGGCTCAGTATAATCCCCCCAGCAGCCTTCCTGCACATCCAATATGATTAAAAAAGCTCCCAAGCACTCCAGCGACACTCCTCAGCTCCATCACATAGCATGCTTACCCTGTATGTGCATTTTGCTATTTTAGCTAAAAAAAAAAAAAAAGGCATAAGAGAAGACCATTTAATTCATAATTAGATGTTTAACTGCACAATGTTCCTCTAAAGACAGATGCTTCTGTTTAGGGCTTTTGGTGCCCCAGCTGTGCACACATCTCCTGATGCAATAGGGAGGAGATCAGCTATCTAGTCAGCTGATAAAATATTAGTTCCACAAAAGTAGGACTAATCCAGGAAGAAAGGGCTACGTTCCCATTTTGAGTGTCTCACACAGACAGAAAAGAGATTATTTAGCATAAGATAGAAGAATCTACTTGAACTTCTGCTTTAACTTGAAGAGATTTAGGAAAGCATAGGAGGAAACTGAAGCTCACAAGCTGAGTTAAAGGTTTAATTTCAGGCAAAAGCATATTTTTTCTTAAGCGTGCTATTCAATTGCATTTCTTTTCACTAGGAATCATGTAATGTTGCACACTCCGTGATAAATTGTTCTCCCCTGTATTTTGGGAGAGCCTTAATTTCTGTCATCCAGGAGATCATGATGCTAAGAAGCTTCAAGTTGTAGCAAAACCCTAGCAGGGTAGGACTGAAAAGGTAAGAGTCTTACTTACATGCCTCTTTCCCCAAGTGCTGAATTACAGTTGTCCTCTCACTGATATTACCCAAACACTTAAAAACCCAAGAGCATGTGAAAAGGCAATTTAAGTGTTTAAGAAGAGATTAAAAAGAACAAACTCTTAAACTCAATGATTTAAGGAACCTATCATCTACAGAACTCAGTGCAGGTCTGGTGCATGAGCATACAGGAATAACAAAAGAAAGGTAAAAGAAACATCAGAGCCTTACTGGAGATATCAGAAATAAAGCCAAAACTAAACAAATAACAGTTTTTTACTACAAACACAAGAAGAAAACATCTCAGGCTACAACTGATGGCTTTTACATTGCCACTAGCTTTAAATTTGTCTAAGCTAAAGATAAGATTTTAACAATTATGTTACTATATGCTCTAGACAATCAAATTTAAATGGAGACCACAACAGGCACTGGAGAACCCAAAACATCCCCAGCTGCCTACCTCACTAACTACTCATCTGCTTTAATTAATTCACCCCAGCTTTCCCCCCACACCTGTAAATAGCCAAAGATGTTGATTGATTGGAAATTTGATTTTCAAATAGGCCGCTCAGAAGGTAAAGAGGCATTACAAGACATACATATAAATCTTCCATCTGCACCAAAGCTCTTTCTTGTTAGATAAAGCTTCTTTCTGATGAAGCAGTCAGTATCTTTTTGCTATTCTGTTTATCAGAGGTGAAAAAAGGTAGTTTTAGCTTTCAAAATGCATTTTTTTTTCAAGAGATTTAAAGAAAAAATTTAGTCTTGTGTTTGCAGGTAGCACAGGGTTTTCTATATGTTTAAAGTTCTATTTTGTAGCAAATTTAGAAAACAAACATTTTAAGAGTGGGGGAGCGAGGTTGTCTGTTTATAAAGTGCTTAGTTATAACTTTAGTTCTCTCATGCACCCAGAGCAGGAGAAAAGATAATTTACCTATGCATCATTCTATGCAACATTGTTATATCTTTCAGATGGACATGTCAAGTTTTTTCACCAATTATCTAGCTTCCTGCAAAATTTTCCATAGTTGTATTAGTTCTGGAGTCCCTTGTACTCGTAGCACTGAATTTCTGTGCCAAAACTAATTCTGGCTTAGGGCTGGATCCTGCTTCATCAAGGAAAAATACGTAAAAGTGCAAAAGTCAATAGCAGCAAACCTATCTGGCATTAAAGTGAGAGGATTTCTGCTAACTCATGCTATGTTGTTGGATGTTTGTTCCCAAAGGGGCTGGCAAGCACCTCATTCCCTAGCATGTGAATAGGAAAATCCCCACAATGTTTAAAACCTCGAGAGCAGCTTGCACCCTCTGTCTGCTGTAGTAATTAATCTGCTTTGACCATCCCACCTCTACTTGCAGATTAGATGCTGTTTTGCTGTCTAGAAAGTGTATGTGCGCTTCCAGAGCTACTGCAAGGGATGTTTGATTCTGCTCATTACTGCTCTGTTAATATTTAAAGGCTCTTGCCTCCCGCTAACCCAAGTTGGGTGTAACGAGTCTCCTGGGGGTTTAGAAAGGGCAGCAAAGCGGGTTATGACGTACAAGAGTATCTGCTCGTGGGTTATAGAGGCCAAAGCCAACTCCTGAGGAGCATCGCTGCCGACTCCAAAGATGGAGGCTGGCCTGGAAAGCGCGTCCTGAGATGTGGCATCTGCAGGGCTGGGAGGTGACGATGCTTTGCTCTGACTCCTTGGTCAGCTATGTCTGGTTCTGCAGGGCAGACATCCCAAGTCTTCATGCAGAACGATGCAGGGCACTGAGCCCCAGCCTTTCCTCTCCAATGGGATGCTAGCGGTTTGCCACAAAGCTTTCCTCCCTGTTTTTCCTCCAAAAAAACAGTATTACTGTCTGGTAAGTGTAAACTGCATAACTTCTGTAAGTGTTTCTTAGTTCTTTTGGGCTGTTCTACTGCTGCGAGGTGGCTCCTCTGCCCCCCCCCAAGCAGAAGCCAGCTCAAACGACTAGGGTTTTCTGGTGCAAAGCAGCCTGCTTTTTGTGTCCTGTTAATGAAATTCACCTGGGATTGCTCTTCTCCCGGTAGTGACAGGGATGAGTGGCACTCCAGGCCTCCCCCCGCTGAAAAACCCCTCCGTATTTATTTAGCAAAAATAAATAAAAGTCCTCCCGGCACAGGGGGAGGTGCCTGCGGCGCCCCGCTGAGGAGAGGGCAGGGCGGCGGGGTGCGGCTGGGGCGAGGCTGCGGGGCCGG